GCTACTTGTCAATAATAGTAATGGAATATGAGACAGTATCAACTCTATATACGTTATAAATTGTGTTTGTACAATATATATATATATATATATATATATATATAGAGAGAGAGAGAGAGAGAGAGAGAGAGAGAGAGAGAGAGAGAAAGAGAGAGATGAATTTAAGATATTCATTTTTATCCGTGAATAGTTTCATTCAAACTGCTCCTTCGTTTGAGGCCCATTTTTCTCTTAATAACAGAACAACAGTGAAATTTAATTTGACAAGTTACCCCCAGGTAGCACATCGCATAGGCGTGTCGCAAAAACATGTTTTTGAAATATTGAACATAAGTTTTCCCATCGAATATACACACAGGTTATATTCCATCATTGTGAAACTACGAAATTTCACATCATGGCCCAGCAAATTTAATAATGTTTCCAACTGTCTTTAAAATGAAATTCTCAGTAGGTAATATTTCTTTTGAGTCTATATTAATTTCTTCAAGTAAGATATTTTCATACCACCAGACAACAGCTGGGAAGATATCGAATTCTCTAAAATATGTGAGTATAAAACTTACTTTCAGTTATCAAGAAGCCATTTATGTAACTGTACATGATTATAAATTTATTTTGAGTTGTTCTTTTCTAAACAAACACAGTTTTCAAAAATTATAATATTTTATAAATTCATAATCTGCGGAGAATGTATTATGTAAAGGGAAAAATTGTAGAATCAGTTATCAGTTTTACAATAAAATGCTTGCTTGTGCAGTAGATGTACACGAACACATTTATTTGAAAAAAAAAAAACACAAGGTCGGTATAAAAAGGTTCTTTCAGTGGATTTTAATTTTTAACAAGCTACATGTATTCAGCAACATTATCTATCTGTTATTTCCTATTTATTCTATATCATATGCATGTCAAGTACAAACAAATCTTAGCTAAAAATATGTTTTACTTATTGTAAAGATATTACGTCTAATGAACAAAACAATTGTAATCTACCAGAAGAGATTATACTAACCCAACAGTGAACAAATATTAATGATAAACCGAGAACTTATTTCCATGTATCTATGGTATGAAACATCTCTAGGGTGAAAATTGATTAAAAGAATAATTTCTAATAGATCAAATTGAAACTTTTAACACTGTATTACGTTGAATATGAGACCTAAAGATATGGGTTAATTTAAATCAATTTCAGTGAAAATTATTGAAGTAAGTTGATCACGAAGTAGAAGTGATTTTTCCTGCATGCATTCGTTTCTAATACCCAGGAAGTAGGCTCAGTATCCAACAAAATGAAGCTAACAAAAATATTAAAGTCTATTTTTTAAAAAAAAATATTTAATTATGTTGAAGAAATCCCTTTTTTTTTTTTTTTGTTATTTTCCACCACTTTATGCTTATGAAGTACCACTATTCTTATGAAGTATCAGTTATAAAAACTTGAAGTTAAAATAATAAATAAATAAAAGACATAAATAAAGTGTTCATTTTATTTGAATATACACAAAAGACACCAGAAACACTTGAAAAGTATTTTCAGGAAAAGTGCTGGATTTGATTCCCTCCAAAGTCTCAAAATGATATATGAAATAAAATAATATTGAATTAAAGGGTTAAAATGAAGGGGAGAACAAACTGAAAGAAATTGAAAAAAAATAAATATCACAAACGTATGTTATATAAAGTGAAAGCACTGGCTTTTTTTTTTATTTCATCTGCAGCTGCAGCTGGGCTCTAATACCTTTGTATTATTTTTTTTTCATGTTTTATAAACATAAAAGCGTTATAACTCCTTTTCCAAAAAAAAAAAAAAAAAAAAAAAAAGTTACAACGCATTTTAAGGTCAAGATCTAGTGAATGAAAGGTGCCCACATATTTCTCAAATTTGAGATACACATTCTTTTAATGTTCCTTTACGAATATAGCTTCGCATAAAAAGGTGTATCCGGACATAATTTTGGGGTAAACTCATCGGAAAAACATATTATAAACTGCCCATTTTCAATGAAAAAGGAAGAAAGTCTGGTATAAAAATGGGAGTTTTTTCCATCTCAGACAAAGGAAATGTATCAATATTGCCTACAGTCTCTCAGAAAACGGTTTTTCCATATCTTCTTGATCTCTACTTTAAAATAATAAATGGAATAAGGGTATCGGGGTTACATTTGACATGATTTCAAATTGAATTCCATGAAAGTGCTTTATTTTCTACACAATTCTATTGAAGCCGTAAAGTACGGGAAAAATTAAGTTTAAATCAATTATGACGTCATAATGAATCTAGCACCAAGAAGAAAGTCTAAACTCATTTACTAGATCTTGACCTTTTAAAAGGGCATCATTACGCCTTTTGAATATAGCGCAAAATAGAAAGGCTTTGTGACGAAAATTATAGTGAAGAACTTTTATTATATGATTTTAATTATATGAAGACGGGATTGAATCCATCTTAATCCATGCAATTAAGAGCCATTCTGTGTAACGACTTGAACTTTTATATAGGAGCTGTGGCACGCATAGTCTCAGAATTTCTCCAAACTCTCTATGATAAAAGTCTTTGATACCGTAAACTTAAATCAGGCAGAAATTGGTTGCTATATGTCATGGTTACCATGGCAACACGTCCTAAAGTTTGAAAAATGGCATTTTTCAACATGTTCAGAGTCTCACAGTTAACGTTTGCAGCAAAGCAAGCGTCAATGATTGTTTCTGAAAGTTGAAGGCCTGATGTCTTAAATGCATGATAAACATGTTTGGTAAATCAACTACATGTATTACATACGTTACTATGGAAACAAAGTATTCAAAAGTAATAATTTTGCTCATTTAATTTTATAAAATCATACACTTAAGAATAAAAAAAAATTATAGGTTGAAATGCAAGCACATAATAGACAAAAGATCCTTGTAACATATATCAAGGAAGAAATATGATATTTCTTATAGGTTGGCAATGGTTGCCATGGTTTTAATACCAAGAAGGGATTTTAAATATGATATTTCTTATAGGTTGGCAATGGTTGCCATGGTTTTAATACCAAGAAGGGATTTTAAATTTACTCTCTTAGTGTTTAAATCTAATCTTATCTTTTTAAAAAGCATATTTCTATATAACTATTGATCAATTTTTAAAGATGTTCATGTGGCCCTAATTTTCACATTTCAAAAAATTCAAATTCAATTCTTTAATAGAGCATTGCTATGGAAATGAGCCGAAAAATATGCATAAAAATCTGAAAAAATATTCTGTTTCCTTGGATATGTACCCTTGTATGTAGATTCCCAAAACTTTTATGATTGATAATTATGAACAACTACCCTGACTTTCAATTTTGACTGCCACCCAATCTCTAACTGGATGCAAAAAGCTGGCACATAGGGTTTAATATTGATATAAAATTAACAAAATCGAACATATTCCCTTCTTGGTTACCATAGCAACAGTGTTGTATTTTTCAACAAACGTTATCAATATATGATATTCAACTTTAGTTCTACCAGATAAGTAATATTCAAGGTGAGTCAAATAATATGTTTCTTGAATGATTGGTAAGTAAATTCCTAAGGCAGCAAAAAAAATATCACTTTAAACAACTGGTTCATCGTTTCCATGGTTACACTGCAAAGTAACAATTAATCCCAATTTTTCTTATATTGTTGGTGTTGCAAGGTCCTAAGGATGTATATGTGCCAGTCATGAAATTTATTGTTTTTCCTGAAGATAGTTGCATTAACCCAATCTTAGCAACACATTTTGCATGCTAACACTGTGTTACCATGGCAACCATGAAAGTTATTTTTAGAATAATATTGCCAATACCTAATTACTTAAGGTCAAATATTTTTATTGTTTTTTTCTTAGGTTGTTGATTGAGTTTGATCATTTAACACCTATCATTAGTGAATATTGAGCGTTTTTCTGCATTTTTCAGCATCTAAAATGTATTCCGAATGTACCCATGGTTACCACTTATTTAGAGATCAATTCTAAATAGTTTCTTCATAGCATAAGTGGCAACAAGGTGTCAGGTTTTTGTGAGAATGGTTTGTTTGTTATTCTTAGTCTTTGTTAAGGCTTAATAAAGATTCAAGGTAGCTGAAAATCTCAATTTTTCCAACTATATTTCTGGCTGTTACCATGGCAACTAAGACACATAGCAGCGAAATTTTATTTGATATATGTTTCTGGTGTCAGGTTATAATAATGGGCAATGTTTCAGCAAAATCGATGACCATGCGTGGCAAAGAAGTTTAAGTGGTTACAGATAATCACTATTAACATGTATCAAAATATTTTTCTATATGTTTGTACATCTAGCAGACAACTGTTTCCATGAGTATTAAGAAAGGTCAAAACTCTACTTATTAAAATTCCAGAATTTAGGCCGATACAGCCTGGGTCTTAACTGGTACATGTAAAATTATACTTCACATTTGAAAATATTTTTCTTCCCTCTTGGAAAGAAAGCCGGCAAACATTTTGCATTGGTGTAATGAGCTAGAAGTAATTTTTCATCAAAATTGTGAATGTTACAGAGTTAGTATACCGAATTCCATTACTTTTCAAATATTTCCGTAACAATACAGCAGTGATAATCATTGTCGATAGTCTGAGTTAAAAAAATTCCACTAATTTTTCTTTTCTTTTTCTTTGGGGGGGGGGGGGGCATATTTTGGTGATTTTATGCATTTGAAGGGTTCCGATCATACCGGGCATATCTTAACATGCGGGGTGAACGTTTATATACTCTGTTACGAAGGGGATGTACATGTATCCTCTAGCAGTCTAAGCGACGGGAAGGTGGTTGTGGTACCTTTTTTGTTCATTTTCTTTCGTTTATAGATACACTTCGCCGGAAAGCATACATGTATGCTTACAGAAGAAATAATATGGAAACATACGAATCAACCGTACAGGGTGTATATATACTTTATGGTTATTATATCAAACACCTCAAAGCTCTAGTTTATCATTACTTTTCTGTTCTGATAATTAAATGCTATCTTTGTAAGTTTATGCATATATTATCTGTGAATAAAATCAATCGTATTTGAAGATATTGACGAAAAATTTGTTTAAAAGAAGAGGTACCTCGACCACCTTGATCATTTCGGACCAAAATGACGTTTCGAATGGAGCTCAGCTAAACTGTGACGATGTCCTCCTTACAGTGTATTAAATAGCAAATAAAGCACAACCAAAGATACATATAAATGTAAGCCCCTAATTATTTAATTAAAGTTGTGACACTTTCCAAGCTTCACTTCTTTGAGGAATGGTCATATTTGACTTTCAGGTCACGATTTATCTTCCTTGTGTGCGTTTTACTTTGCGAATCTGTAGAAGCTTATAAAGAGATCTGTATCGGCGGCAGGGAACTCAACTGCCAGGAATGGAAGAATCATATGCTTGCAGAACACAACAGGGTCAGGAAGGACAAAAATCTCCCACCATTAGTAAATATTATATTTCATTACCTACGTGTGTATTAATTATACGACTAGTAAATTCTTATATTATTGGCTCTAATTGATAAAATTGAATTTTCAGACTCGAAAATGTATTCCAAAAGAAATAATTTTTCCTTTTCTCATTGGGCATAATTTTATGATTTGTGACTTCTTCGTAACTATTCTACGTAATTTAGTTTAAATAATAACCATAAAGAATATTATAAGTGTATAGTCTGCTTCATTATATATTGAATTGACAAAAAAGAAATTTTAATGGTAAATCATAGGTTTAAATATTTACATATACCGACTCTTTTACAATGAAATATATGGAGATAACGAACAGTATTCAAGCTCAAAAGTCCATTATACAATACAAAATAGAAGCCGAGCAAACAGGGACCTCCAAACATAAGAGGTGGGATCAGGTGCCATGGAGGAGTGAGCATCCCCTGTCGACCGGTCACACCCGCCGTGTGCTCCCTGTCATGATCGGCAAATAACGGAAAAATTTATCGACAATTCAGTGTGTAAATAATGGCCTAACAATTAGTATGAAAAACGTCAGTCAGCATTTGACTCAATGATAAATTGTATTTGCTGACAAGGTCATTGTATCGACCATAGAACTTACGAAATGATGACTTTAAACGAGACAGCTGATATTCTTGTTTCATCAACTTATTTGTCAATAATTTACCTCGTTTTAGAAATTGTACATACGTAGAGCATTCTCTTGCGTATCGAATCAACTGAGAGATATATACCCCGTATGCAGGTGATGAAGGTATTATTGCTGCATAAGTAAGGGAAGTTGACGATTGAAAAGTTAAAGTCATCACGTTTATCATAAAGCTTGGTTGTTAGATTACCATTAACGTCTTTTTCAAGTAAAACATCCAAATATGAAACAGATGTGTCAGACTCTGTGGTATAAAATGCCAGTATTTATTTAAACCGCTTTTCTTTACTTCAAACTGTACAGTTTTCCTTTTATTTAGCTAAAATGGTTAAAGATACTAAAAATTGATCTGAATAATTTGAAATACGTGTGCTTCTTCCAATATGTACATATTATCCACATTGTCTTACTTTCTCTGCACGTGCATTTACGTTTGTAATTTGTAGGATTTTAATACACATTCTTGTCTGTAATTATGAACAAATTTTTTTCCCCAATTTTCACTGTTTGAAAAAAACTTGCTTGAAATTCTACAGTTTTATTTCAAGTCGTTTTCTTTAAACAGGTGTGGAATAGTCGATTAGCAAAACATGCCTTGGAATATGCACAAAATTGTTCCCGCAAACACTCAGATCCCAGCGACAGGAAGTACGACTCCGACTTAAATTGTTACTGGATTGGCGAAAACGGATGGTCTGGATATCGCTGTATGTTAACATTTAATCCAACTTAAAAATCGAGTAAATATTGTTTCCACTCCTCAGACTCCATGGGGACAGGGACCTTGAAATCCACTTCTGTTGTTTCTCTTCATCTATGAACAAGTATATGCCATGGACCAAGACTAGTTGATATTGTATAAACAATTCAGAAAAGAAGCTTAAAATGTTCATAAGATTAATCACTTCACAATAAGACAGACTAGAAAAACAGCAATAGGCCGACTATAAGATTCAGGTGACAAAAATTGCTTTCAAATGATTTTTTAGTCAAGTGTAGTGTTATGTGGTGAAATTGTTTTAATGTATTTGATATTTAAAAATTATAAAGTATATTTGGCAGAATAATATTTGGTTAAATAATTGTTGCCGTGGTTGGTTTTGAACCGTGGTCCTTTGGGTTTGGGCGAGCTGCCTATCCACTGGACCATGTAGTAATATTCCTTTGTTTGAATTGTCAGTTATTCATAACAAGACACACCATGTTAGATCTGGAAGCTCTATTAAATAGAAGTCCTTAATGCCCTGTTCACACGGAGAGTTTAATTCGCAGTAAATTAATGCGAAGTAAAATGATGCCAATTAAAATAATGCGAATTAAATTGCGTTCACACGACAGCTAATGCGAAGTAAACTAATGCGAATTATAATTTTATTTCTACAACAAGACTATTCAGTGAGGCTATTATGACGTCATTTACAAATCACGTCATATTGTGCAGAGCAGATATACATTTGACATAATGTCATAGTGTCTGTACACATTTTAGTGATTTACATAATTTTCCTTTGTTTTCCACTCAAAAATAGCACAAGTACCTATATTTGACCATCGACATGTGGCCTGTGACTTAATTCTGCCCTTACGCATGCGTCAAAATTTAATTCGAATTAGCTTCGCTTAGCGTTCACACGGAGCTAATGCGAAGTAATTTAATGCGCAGTAAACTAATTCGAATTAAACTAATTCGCATTAAATTCTCCGTGTGAACGCGGATCAAATTTAATTCGCAGTAACTTACGTTTAATTCGAATTAAACTCTCCGTGTGAACAGGGCATAAAAGTGGTAATAAATTCCAGTTGATCGTCGTAGAGGTTATCACAGAATGTTATGCCGTGTTCACACGGAGAGTTTAATTCGAATTAAACGTAAGTTACTGCGAATTAAATTTGATCCGCGTTCACACGGAGAATTTAATGCGAATTAGTTTAATTCGAATTAGTTTACTGCGCATTAAATTACTTCGCATTAGCTCCGTGTGAACGCTAAGCGAAGCTAATTCGAATTAAATTTTGACGCATGCGTAAGGACAGAATTAAGTCACCTGCCACATGACGGTGGTCAGTTACAGGTACCTATGCCATTTTTAGTGCAAAACAAAGGAAAATTACGTTAATCACTGAAATGTGTATAGACACTAAGACTATTATGTCAAATGGATTTGCTCTGCATAAGGTGACGTGATTTGAAAATGACGTCATAATAGCCTTACTGAAAAGCCTTACTGTAGAAATAAAATTTTAATTCGCATTAGTTTACTTCGCATTATCTGTCGTGTGAACGCAATTTAATTCGCATTATTTTAATTCGCATTATTTTACTTCGCATTAATTTACAGCGAATTAAACTCTCCGTGTGAACAGGGCATTAGTAACAGTGATGTGACAAAATTGATCCATGGTTTTTTGGTTGCTCCCTTACTTAGGGCCTTCACCATTATATTTCTTATATGGAATAAAGAATGAAAACCACATAAATCCGGTGTTTCAGTAGTTTTATTCTTCCTATTTTTATATCAATTTGCAGCGTCAGGAGATCAAGCAACAAAAGCGTTTGAAAATGAACGGAAATACTGGGATGACAAAACTGATAAATGCAAGTTTCATTGGACAAAATGTGGTCATTATAAGCAGGTACTTTTCAAATATGTTTATAAAATGCAATGTTCATTTAATTTGAATACTTTAACCGGACACCACACATTTTTTAACGAACAATTTCTCATATACGATGCTTAACTACTTTTTTTTTTTAATTAAATTTTGAAAAAAAAATTGATTGTTCAAATGATTTTTTAATCTTAAAGTTCAACAAATTTTTGACAAGTAAAACTGAAACCATACTGCAAATGTAAAAAAATGAAATTGAAAAAAAATCATCTAATTCTACATCAGTTTGAATGAAAGTTGGACGCTTCATAAATTATTTTACAATTTTGACTAATTATTTTTGTCAGATAATTAGCCGTAGAACATGCATGCTAGGATGTGGAAGGGCTAAATGTGGCGAAAACAAAAGAAGGATATGGTGTTGGTATGCCACCAACTGTCGTTCTTGTGGTACGTTTAAAACTAATTTACTTAGCAGTTGTGGTACGATTAATAAAAAATTTAATTATCCGAGATTTTAATAACAAATGATCCTTGGTTTGAAGCTCATTCAAGAGAGTTTCATTCTTTTTCCATGAAAAGTACTCATTATATCTTTTTTTTGCATGTATCCATACAACTGTATGCTTTCAGAATCTTCGAAAAAGAGAGAGCTTATACAGTTGTTAGGACTGCGATCAGTAGACGATCTGTACGATTTCGAACGAGACTTTCGCAAACAAGACATGTCAACTGCCGCCCCTCCTACAAGACAACCTCCACCTTCTCAAGAAGTCACGGGGGTGATGTCTGACGAGAGCGACGAGAATAAGGAAGACAGGAGCGACTCCATCGAAATCATTTGATAGCTTTGTAGAAATTACCTATGTAATCTTGAGTTGTCAATTCCTAGTTAATATCACTGTCAGTTTCTTACATTCTTTTTGACAAATATATTCAAATTTGATCCTTATCAGTTAATGTTTGTCATTCAAGTCTTTAGGCAATTGATATATGTAGGATCCTTTCATGATTAATTTAATACGCCGAAATAAATTAATCTAAACATTCTATTAAAAAGATTTATATACAGATGGTTCGGAATTCAAAGATAAAAGTCGCTATGGCTGAAGTGATGAAAAAGAATGTGCTCTCCACAAGACTTCCAACGAAAGCAATAAGTTTTACCGCCAAAACAAAAGCCATACAACTTGCATTTTGAATATACTTGTAATAAGACTTCTACTGACATTTTTTTTTACAATAATTTCAGACTCGCTCTTCTGCTTACAATCCAGGCCTACACAATATGAACATTGATCACTTATAATACATTTTGAATATAAAGTACATGTATTATCATTTCACTCAACAAGGTAAATTAGATGACCTTTGGATTCCAAGTCATACTAGAATCCCTGTCAACACAGAAACTGAAAATGCTGCAAAACTGCACTTCACTATGAAATTGTACAATTCAAAATTCCTTACACTGATCTAAAAATTTGATAAAACTTTACATGAGTTCTCTTTTAATTGGCTTTGTTGAAATTTTTGTAATAGATATAAATAACTTTATGCTATTGATAGAAAACAAAGTTAATAAATAAATAAATCGTTTGTTTTCGGCCTGGAACGTCAGGACGAAGTGATCATAGACTTTTCATTAACTATACACCATATTCTATTAGAATGTACTGATTTTTCTCCTATACGAAGTATACTTTTTAATAACGTGCAAACAATGCAAGATATATTAAAAACATAAATGGCTGTACAATTTTACAGGAAACTCATTTTTTACAGTAAAATTTAAATGTATTTATATTTTAAGTAGCTTTGTTTGTAAATATATATCGACATTACAGTTATAATTGTTTTCATATTTTTAAAATCCGTTGAATATGGGACGTTAAACGGTGCTTATTTTCAAAGATAATAACCCTCTCGTCACGCAAAAGCGTTGGCTCACTAATATATGCTTTTGATAAAAATGACCATGTCCTATCTATGTTTCTAAAAAAAATTATTAAAAGCGCACGATACAACATAAAAATACGACATTCTGAGAGATCTTTACAATATTAGCCTCAAAGAACATTTTTAAAAATATTTAAAACAATTATTTTAAATGATAGATACATGTATTTAAAACTAGGATCTACATTAATATTTTCAAACACTTTTGAACAAGATATGGACGTGCATCAAGGAAGTACAAGTATTTGATCAGTCGCCAAAATAGTTAAGCAGAAGTACATATACATTCTTTCAAAAATATGCTTGGCAGTATTTATGTTTATTAGATTTGTTCTTTAATATGAATTCCACTGAGCGACAATTACAATTGTGTCTAAACTAAGTTCAAAATTGGGCTGATGTGTATGGCTTTTAAAATTTCAAAAAGTAAAACTGCGTGTGTGCATTTTTGTCTCCAACAGTTTTTTTCCAGTCACTTTCTACATCGAAGCGCACGAACCGCCTCTGAACTTACATGTAGGAAGAATTAAACTCACTTTAACGTACACAGCTAAATAAAAAGCAAATACTGATAATCCTGCATTGGCTGTTTTTTTTCCCATCCGCAGGAAGAAGATTTATAAATGATAAATAAATAACATGTATAAAATCAAGTGTTAAAAATCGTAATTTATGATTATGATTAGGGATTCTGATTTACTATTGGATGTTGTAAAACCCACAACTCACTCTCAAATACCGCCATGTAAATTAAATAAACCTGCTGCAGATACATGTACGCTCTTACCTGAGTTAGAAATCAGAAGAATCCCCATGTTTTCAAACAGAAATTTGTCGATATAAAATATTCTACAATCTTAAACAATAAAGTTGTTGCCGCTGCAGTGTTTAAAATGTGTGTTTAATTTTCTACACGACCTCCAAATGAAGCAACATTTTACAGCTAAAACAGAGAATATGTAACTTGCATTTGAATGAATTACATAATGTAAAACTTATGTAGTGACTATAGGCATTAGAAAATCTTTTCTCTGTTATCGCAATAAGCAAATTCAAAGAATTGTGGCCCCCCGCTTTCGGTGTCTTAGTGGCTGGGATGAAATTATTTATGACATATTGTAACGACCCAATGATAGATTATATTTGCTAACAAGGTCATTATAACGACCATAGAATTTACGAAATTCTGACTTTTAACGAGGATTTTTAAATTTCTTTAACATCAACTTATCTGTCAGTATCCTGCCTCGGTTGAAAACTTGATCGTACTCGGAGCATTCTCCTGAGTATCGAATAAGTTGGGAGATGTAAACACCATTTGCAGGTGATAACGGAATATTACATAAATAAAGGAAGTTGACATGGAAAAGATGTATCATCTCTTTTGTCATACAATTAATAAATTATCCTGCAAAGGAGGTTGAACTTTATTAAATGATACCAAGTCGACACTCTCTGTCAAGTTTAAAATTGTCAATGATTTTCTGATTTAAAACATGACACAGGCACACTTTAATCTCTTTTCCCGCCAGTTAAATTAAGGAGACACTGACGCAAAAATGGGAAAATTGACAAAAAATAAAATTTTTGCATGGTCCATGCAAATTTTGATAGTATAAAATTGCATGACATTTTAGGTTCCAGAACCAAAACCAGAGACTAGCACTACTGGTGTGTATTAATCACTGAAAAGAAATGCATCTTCGTAAAGTCTGGTACTGGTACACCAAGTCTTATTCAAATCAGACAAGAAGTGTAGAAGTAGTAGCGCTTTGAAAGCATTGTGAAAAATCGTATTTATTTTATAGTAACTTATAGTAACCATGACAACATTTTTCGTCAAAAACTGATCAACATAATAATGTTATCTTGTACTCCAAGTCTTACTAAAATCAAACCAAAACTGTAGAAGTAACGTTTCAAATGAATTTCATAAATTTTTATTTGTAGAGGCCATGGCAACACTGAAATTAAAAACTAATGAATAGAGTTATGTATCTTAGACTCTTAGTATAGTCTACTTGTACAAAAGTCTTATATAAATCCAACAAATTCTGTATGAGGAGCGGCGTTTTGAAAGAATTTCAAGAACTTCCTATTTTAAGTAAGCAAGGCAACATTGTTTGTTAAAATCAAAAACCAAAAACAAGAATTGAGTATCTTTGTATGGTCTTCTTCTACGTCATTCGCCCGCGTGGCGCAGTGGTTAGAGCGTCTGCTCTAGATCTAGAGTCGCGAAGTAAGGAGTTGATCCTTACGTCGCGGGTTCGAATTCCACTGTGGGACGTGGAGATCGGTCCTTCGGATGAGACGTATAAACCGAGGTCCCGTGTAGCAGTAGGTGCTGGCACGAAAAAGATCTCTCACTGCTCAATGGCCGTAAGTGCCGAGTATAGGACAAAATTTGCAGCTCTCCACCGGCAAGTGGTGGCGTCCCCATATGAGTGAAAAATTCTCGAGAGGGACGTAAAACAAAATACAATCAATCAATCAGTCTTCTACGCCAAGTCTAATTCTAAAGTTTTGAAATTTCTATTTCTAGTAAACATGGCAACACCGTTTATCAAAACCGATGTATATGTATCTTAGTATAGTCTACTTGTTTACAACGTCTTCTTGAAATCGAACTAGAACTGTAGAAGGGGTAGCATTTTGAATGAATTTCAGTAATTCCTATATTAAGAAACTCTAGCAACACCATGTGTCAAAATCAAAAATACATTCACAGAATTATCAACTTAGTATAGTTTAGTTGTGCACCAGGTCTTATATGTATTGAAATTGAACAAAAACCGTGGGAGGAGTGGGGTTTTGAATGAATGTCAAAGACATTTCTATTTTTAGTAGCCATGGCAACATAGTTCGTCGAAATCAAAAACCAATGAATAGAATTGTCTATATTATTATATTCTACATGTACTTGTTCATCAACTCTTATTGAAATCAGATCCAATCTGTAGGAGGAGTACCGTTTTGAATTAAATTAAAAGAAAGGATGACTGCACTTAAGGACATGCGAATGGTCAACATCTAATCTACAACTCTCCTCTTAATGAAACCAATGATACAAAATAAATCAAAAATGTATTCTAGAAATCACTCAAGAATTTTAACCAATCTATCCTTCAAAAATGAACAAATTTAATATTTGAAATCAATCGATTATTAATTGATTATAGTGCATCCGATTATTCTGATAATCGATTACGGAAAAAAAATTCCGATTTCCCATTACTACTGGGGTCTTCACAAGTTTTTGAATCTCTGTACGATAATAAGGACGCCCACTTTTTTTTACTGACTTTATACATGGTCAGCGCATGTTTATCTATTGTTCTCTATTAACAGTAGTTGTATATTTGATTTACTAATGTTGTGTCAAACGAAGATTGATAGACAAACATGCGCTCATGGTTTAAACGAGAAAAACCTCTTCTTCTTTAATTCGCTCTCTCTATTGTAACCAAGGGCTGTGGCATGTTGAATATTATAATTCACCACGTGATTTCTTACCTCAAGTAACTCTGTGAATACTAAATTCCATTTTATTGTATCACAGTCTAAAATTATTTTAACATTTAAATTTGGTGCTAAATGACAGAATTCTTTAGTAAATATACAAAAAAAAAAAAAAAAAGAAATAAGGTTAAGATATAAAAGTAACAAAAGCGACAGAAAAAGACCCAAAACCCAGCGTTAAGTGCTCTTATCCTTTCTATTTTAACTATCCATGACAACACCTTTAGTAGAAATCAAAAACAGATACACAGAATTATATATCTTAGTATAGTCTACTTGAGTACCAAGAACTAAGTATTCTTGTAATCTGATCAAAATTGAGGTGTGGCGTTTTGAAAGAATGTTTTATTGTCCAGGCTCCGGGGCT